GCTCCGCGGCTCCCCGCCTTCTACAACGGCAAGCCGGCAAGCTACTCGTAGCTTGCCGAACGAAAGCGGGAAAGAGAGAGAAAATAAAAAAAGCGAAAAAGCAAAGCGGCGCGGCGGCATCGGGGCGGGGCCTCGTTGGCATTCCGGCTGTGTACCTCTGGCTGTGCTTTCTTCCTCCCACTGCTCCCACCCCGCCGTCGGTCAGTCTCTCTTCCTCAGCGAACCCGTGATGCGTTCTTCGGAGTAAGAAATAGTCTTGTTTTTGACATCCTACTATCTACAATATTTATTAATTGGTGAAAATAGCGAAATGAAGCCTGGAGCTACAAAAGGTACGTCCGGCGACGATTTTTTGGCGGCAGTCCAGATATAACGATCACCGGTTATAACGATCATATTTTTAGGTTTTCTCGATATCGTTATAAGTGGACTGCACTGTATATAATGAACACACTTTTTTCAAAAAAAATCTGAGAAGAGTTTGGGGGGGGGGGGGGGCATCTATTCTGAAGTGCAAATTTTATGAAAACTTCTTCGGGAGGAGTAAGGAATGTGGTAATGCAAAAAAAGTTAGGTCGATTAGCCTTTTGCAATTGACATACCCATACACTGTTTAAAACCAGCTTCTTTGGTGGATCTTCAGTGGTTGATAGTGCTATCTTCTGCAAGTTGTGCCCGTGCCGTTTGCGCACGCCATAAAACGTTTTGCGGCTATTTTTACTCGCGATCGTTTATTCGCAACAGTGGTATCTGCTGTGAACTGGAGGGGCGCCCAGAAGCGTGCGCTACGACGCACTTTGCCAACTTTGCAGCAACCTCGCACGACGACCGCAATGACACTGTTGACATTGTAGCAAGTAACCAACATTTTGCAGCAAGCTACCCCGAAGTTTCAAAGCAAATCGTCGATAATAAGATTAACGACAAAATACGGCCGCCGCCTCGCTTCCACATGAGAAGTTCCTGAACGCGCGGAGAACAAGTGAAGCGAGAATCGGGGTGCTACAATGTTGTGAAAATCGTCACGATCTTTTCTGAGCGACAAGCTATTTTTATTGGTTTTCCTGAAACCTGCGATGCGGGAGCGACGAATGACCCTTCACGACAGTAAATCTTGTTGTCGCTCAAAGATAACGTGCACGTGGTCGGGCCTTAAAGTTTCATATTCGCACGATGCATAGAGTTTCCTAAATATACACTAGAGGGAAATCTGGCGCTAGTGTTTATGGTAGCTGCAATGCACGGCGCTTCAGCGAGCATGGGAATGATGGATAGTACACAGATTTCTCTAATCTTCATACTTCCGGCTCCTTCATACTTCCGGTGTGTTCGTGTTGCTTGGAGCTGTTTTCTCACGAAACATAAATCGACAAACATTCAGCGGTTGTGCGTCACCACTTTATTCTTTTAGGCTTACCAATTCAAATCGGGCCACGAAGTTAAAACGGTTTTTTTTTTTTTGGAACGAAACCGAAACACAGCAATAAACGAAGCCACAAGTGCGATTCGCAGCCCATCAGTCTGGAGACTAGGCAAATCCGTGTAGGGAGATATATGTATATATATATATATATATATATATATATATATAATGTGAGAGAAAGAAGTTTGTACTTGAGGTCTCATTTTTCCTTGTTTTGACACAATATTAATGAAATCTAAGAGACAATAATGAAAAGGAAAGTATAGGGAGGTTATTAGACCGAATCGTAAGGTAAATGCGAAGGAAAAAAAAGTGGGTGAAAAGATGACTTGCTGTTATAAATATATATATATATATATATATATATATATATAAGGGAAAGAAGTGTATACCTAAGGGCTCGTTTTTCCGTGTTTTAACACAATATTAATGAGATCTAACAGATAGTAATGCCAAGGAATGTACAGGGGAAGTTATTAGAACCAATGGAATGTAAATAGAAGAAAGAAAAGTGGATGAAAAAATAACCAGCCGTGAGCAGGAATCGAACCTACGACCTTCGAATAACGCGTTCCATGCTCTAACCACTGAGCTACCACAGCGGCCTTCCCTCCATCCACTTTTTTGGGTTTATATGTGAATTTAGAAGTAGGAGTGACAGTCAGCGCCATCTATAAGCCAAGCGACGAGTGTGAACCACTCTTTTATGCGCATGTTTGGCCTCACGTAGCACGTGAAATTGTTACGAGCGGGCAGCTGATTAATAGTCCCTCGTATACAACCTAATGACACCAAGTCTGCCAGTACGAGACCCTCGTTAAATGAAATAAGGGAAAGAAGTGTATACCTTAAGGGCTCGTTTTTCCGTATTTTGACACACTATTAATGAGATCTAACAGACAGTAATGCCAAGGAATGTACAGGGGATGTTATTAGAACCAATGGAATGTAAATAAGAAGAAAGAAAAGTGGATGAAAAAATAACCAGCCGTGAGCAGGAATCGAACCTACGACCTTCGATTACTCACTATATATATATATATATATATATATATATATATATATATATAGTGAGTAATTTTATATCAAGTGTGCTTGGTGAATTGTCGACCATCTTCGATCATGCCAAAAAAAAATCGTGTAGGTATATGTAAATGTGAAAAGCAGTTATATATAATTTGCAATAATAAAGAATAAGAAAATTGTATTGCCTAGAGAGCTTCAAATTTTTGGACAACCAAGTGAAAGTCTGTCATTCCAAATAATTTATGTATTACTACTGGTTTGAGCAATTACCACGAAACAATTTTTCCTTAATCTAAAGGTGCTACGCTTTCATGTCTATGGTAGTTTATTCATTTTTGTTTGATGTTTTTTCTTTGTCTCTGCGACGGAAATTGCAATATGTCGCATGTTTAGCGTTTATTATAAAAAGCATAATTTTTTTCACCCGTAATACATTTACTTTTTCTGTTTAACATGTTTCTATATTGAATGAATAAAATACTTTGGAAGGAATCGAAGCAAAGACATTGTCATAATATTGTGACAAAGTTGGCAAAAACAGCACTCTGACTCGTAATGCGGCTCACAAGTAGTGGTCCTTGTGAAAATATGGCTTATTTATGTTGTATGCTATAGTGTGTCAGCAAGATTTGCTAAAAGTTTCAAAAAAGTAGATTTTGTTTAAGGGAGAAAAAAAAATTTCTGTGAACAATCATAAGGTAGTAGGAAGCTTGCTTTTGCCTCGCCTTCACTGCATAGCGTGTCATCACGAGGTTTTAGTGAGGACTTTCGGCAGCGAACAATGCACACCCTATAGCTGGTTGTCACTTTTTTCAATTCTACTGCTGTGTAGAACGTCAACGGCAATAGTGCTTATTTACGAAATGGTATCTTCCTCTTTGGACCATCAAAGGGCAGGTTATCAACTGTTTTTTTAGTGCCAAGGGGCAGAATCATAATGCAGTTAATGACCTGCAAGACAGTATTAGGGTGTTGTGTTAGGCTTCTGGTACACGGGGTCTAATAATAATGGCATATGTAAAGTATAATTTTTCTAAGCTGTTTTAATAATGTTTAGGTATAGGCCGATGTGTAATCGCTTATACCACTGGTGTGCATGAAGAAATATTGTATCCTAGGTGTGCCCCGCCGCGGTGGTCTAGTGGCTAAGGTACTCGGCTGCTGACCCGCAGGTCGCGGATTCAAATCCCGGCTGCGGCGGCTGCATTTCCGATGGAGGCGGTAATGTTGTAGGCCCGTGTGCTCAGATTTGGGTGCATGTTAAAGAACCCCAGGTGGTCGAAATTCCCGGAGCCCTCCACTACGGCGTCTCTCATAATCATATGGTGGTTTGGGACGTTAAACCCCACATATCAATCAATGTATCCTAGGTGTGAACGTTGCAGATGATTCGGTATTGGGCCCATAAATGACACTTTATTTGCCGATTGCGCTTGTCATTTAAACATTTCATCTGTCTTTTTTTTTAATATTCTTAGGTGTTGAAAATGTTAAAAGCACGTCACCCATGCTGGACAGGCTTCTGAATGAAAAATTTTTAGCATGCTTGGACCATTAAGGAAGAGGGGTTGAAAATGTTAAGTGCCTCTGGAAACGTGACTGTAGTGTCATTTATGGGCACGATATTGAATCATCTTTAATATGTACACCTAGGAGACATATTTCATCAAGCACATCAGTGGTAAACGCCGAGCCCAGTGGCAAGCCATGAACTTTCTGAAAGCCTACCCATTTTGTCATACCATTGCCATCGTGCACACATACTTTTATGCAATGCATGCATATCAGACAGAAGTGGCAATTTGTCGCACACGAGCAGGAATTGAAGGGCCTTCTGTGGTGCTGGTGGCACGCTAGTGCAATGCATCATAGTGCCACCTGTAGGGACTGCAGATTGCCCATATATATATACATATATATTTGTATACATATATTTTTTTTTCAGGAAAGAGGACAATTGTGATACCAGTTTTAAACTATTTTATTAACTCTTAACACTCGATATGTATGGAGACTATATAGTCTTCATCTAATTAGCAATGTGAGATTGCAGAATGTACTAATTTCTCTGTTCTAGCACACTTTTCCTCCCACAGCAACAGACAGTGTACTTGCATTGATAGCAATACTCTGCAAGGACAAGGTTTCGGAGGCATTGCCTCACTCTCCTAATGACTGCGATGTATTAAACGTGAACAGTCATGTTTGTCTCATGTTGTGCTTTATTATGAGAGCCCAGCTTTCTTTGAGCAGGTTCATTTTACTTCAAAGCATTTAAGCCATCTGCAGAAGTCAGTTTGCTAGGTTTATATGCAGTGTGTTGCTCCCTCGAACAGAGTTTGTTGGTAATAACCTCATATTCAAGGTATGAAAAGGGCCTACAATTAATCAAATAAAGTTCCTTGATGAATATTGCTCAATGTATATTCTAATTGTTTCTGATTGTAAATTTCATTTCATTTCCATATTGCATACATTCTAATTAAATGCCTTATTTTCTTTTGCCTTGACTGGAGGCAGGTTGTACAAGACTTTGTGCAGACAACAGTAACAATGAAACACCCACACAGTGGCTTCACCGGTTAATGGAGACGCATACCAGGGAGAGTGAAGAATACAAAATCAGTCTATTGGGTAAGTGATGGTTTGTTACTTTAAATGAAGGTATTATAAAGAGGTAACAATAACTGATGATCAGGTCAAGTATAGTTAACCTCAGTTAAATGTGTCCCTATTTGTCTCTTGTGGCACTTTGACTGGGTGAAATACTTGGAAAGAAGTTATTTCTGTTTCTTGCTGTCATCATTGTTTGTTTGCATTATTGAAGGGTGCAACAGCTATGCCGATTGTGCAATTTGATACAACTTTTTAATTTCGTGTCACTCTGAGCCACAACCATGGAATTTGTTAAATTGCACGACGCTACACTAACATGCTCGATAGCCTCAAAATTTTCTCAATTGTGCTAATTTTAATTAGGATTTGAGGCCACATTGGCCGCCTGCAGCTTGGGCACCAGCATCAATCCAACCCAAATATTACCCCAGCCATGAATACAAATTCTTAGCAGCACAAAAACAAGAGAGGACCGAAGAAAGCACACAGAGCACTCTGTCTTCAAGTCTGCCCCTCTTCATTGGCGCTGCTAATAATTTGTAATCATGATAGATCAACACCCTGAATCCGACATCCTTTTAACCCTAACCCCACCATGAAATAAAAGAAGAAGCAAGAACAGTCGTTCTAAAATTTCCTGACCTTGTTTTATTGTGTACAGAATTCTTTTTAAGGCACAGGGTAAGGTAAAGTTAAAAAAAAAAACAAATTTGGTATCTGTTTGTTGGAACGCTAAGGCCCTCCTTAACATATTGAGTGCCCCACACATTTGTGCGTGTCTTGATTGAGCCCAGACAACCAAGTGACTTGCAGCTAAACCCCTTTTTTAAGATTGTGCACAACCTGAACTTCCAGGCTCAACTGAATAAAAAAAAAATCAGGACTGGTAGTTTCTCTGAGGCTACAAGTTTAAAAAAAAAAAAAAAAACCACAGCATATCCACGGAATGAAGGGTGGTGAGTACGGCAAAGCGTCCGTCAATTCGTCCGTGCTTCGGTCCGTCTATCCGTACATGTGCCCATTCGTGTGTCCATCCATGCGTCAGTCCATCCGTACGTGCGCGTTTGTGCATTCGTTCATGCGTCCGTCAGTGTGTCTGCTTGTCTGTCCGTCCATCCGTCTGTCCGTCCATGTATTGAACACTTCAAGTACCGCCATCTCGCTTCTTTTTATATATATTCATCATATACAAGTACAGCCATTCAGCCGACAATCCAAGGGACTAAACGGAGAGTATGTACCACATTTCTGCTGTCAGCGCTTTGTCGACACCGATGAGCGTGAGAACGAAGCCGTGCTACGTTTCTCGTAATATGCGGACATGGGGATATGTGCCCGAGGCGAGTATAGCCACTGGTATATGGGTATGTGTCACAGGTTACGCACTACGACAACAGGGGATGCACAAGCCACGCCAAAAGGAGCTTTGCCCCTAAAAATATTCCGGCTACCTAATGAAAAGTGTTGCAGTTTTTTAAAACTTGTGTGGAGTTTATCGAGTCCACTTGACTTACGCATGCAAACGTGCATTGAGATGTCATTCTGTGCAATTTATTTTTAGTTTATTAGTGCCTTTGTTGATAATTATGGCAATGAAAAATATTCTTGTGTTGAAAAACACAGTATAATTGAAAATCGACACACCTCTGCTGCTAACAAAGTGAGACTGGCAGCACTTCAGCAAGTAACTTTGTCCTCATTCTGCGTTGCTACAAGGGCTTGATATCTGTAGGGACAGTGGCTGCATTTTGATTGATGTGGAGCTTTTACAAACTATGATTACAACTATGCCTGCACAGAACGTGAAAGAACTGTGGCACTAAAGAGAACGCAACAGTAGTGACATCAGCAATGATGCTCTAGTTCAGATTTGGCATGTTGTCACTGTTGGAGTTCTTTAAGGAGGCAGAGAACTTTGTGGGTACAGACGTTTCGTGTGTAGGCATGTCATGGCCCATTTGAGTGAGAGCATTACGCGGTCGTATTTCGTTGCCGAACACTTTCGCATCTGGAACGCAATAGTAAACACTTTTAAAAAGGAGCAGCTGCGACTTAAAGAAAGCGAATTAATTTTTCCTGGCATTTACCATCTTTCTGGCTCAATTCGTGATGCCAGCAGTCAACACGTGACGCTATGAGAACATAAGCTTCGATTGTACGTATATGAGGGATATCAGTAGGCGAATCGCCTCTTACCCTGTTTTGCCATCCAATCACGTGCCTGTTGTACCTTGTTTTGCATGACTGTCATATATATTCTTTCAAAAAGACCTGCATGGCCCAAATAAACATTCTCTAGGCTGTTTGGTATATCACTGAGGCACAATACTGTGTTAATGTTGGGAGAAATCGACCACCAACAACAGTATTGGGCCGATGGAGAGACAGAAGGTATGTAAGAACAAGCCAGTGAACCGAAAAGACGAGAAAGGAAGTGAAAATTCGATTGTTGTGATGAATACATGGCACGTTGCTATTAAATTGTTCAGTACATCTTTTTTTGAACAAATATGAAATAAACTTGTTTTTCCTCTTTCAATCTCAATACTATTTCGAAATCAATTTTTTAGTTACATTTGCCCATTATCAAAATGACTTGTAAAATAGAAGGGTAATTTTTTACCAGAACAAAATGTATATCATTAAGAAGCCACTGAATTATAATTGTGAAGCTATGGGCAGTAGCTTTCTTTTAAATAAAAAGCATTTTTTTGCATACTGCAGGCACCTTTAGTGTCCATCTATTTGTCTATCTATCTACCAAGCGCCTATATCTGGGTTCTTTCGTGATCACTCCCTTGACTTGGAATGAGCTAAAATTAGTATATAAGCGTAAGGTGGTCTGACGAATATGACTCGCTGATCATAGCATGAAGAATGTGACAATCCTGTCAGATATGTTGCCAAATCTTTTCCGTCATAGTTATGACTTGGAGAATCTGACAATAATGTCGCATATGTTGCCAAACCCTTTCTGCAACATATACACGTGTGGCACATACTCGCATACCATAGGCGGGTATGTGTCACAGGTATGCGGGTATGTGCCACAGGAGGTTGACAGTGTGTTTGTCCAGGAACGTCGAGAACACAAATTCGTAATTTTAACATGAGAGTGTTCAGAAAAAAGTTCATATCAGAATCGTTGATGCGACAAATACAAAAAATAGATATCAGGGGCCCGGCAGGAATCGAACCGAAGCATCTGCGTGGTAATCAAGTGTTCTACCACAGATCCATGCCAGGTTCCGATACTGCTTTGGAAAAAGACACTAGTCAGGTGTAATGCTGGTGAAACACATGTGGATGCATTGCTGCACATCTACTTCTATAACAATACATATGTGCTCCCTAATACAGCCGTCATGTCAGGGCAAAGCCAATTGTAGTTAAGCGCCATCCACTGACATTAATCTATGTAGCAGTGTTCAGCCAGGGCGGTCATCCTCCTGAGCACAGGCGCTACATGTCGTTTTGTTAACAGTCATATCGCTGTGGTATCATTACACAAGTATAAAGATATGGTTATATAAAACATGTGCGACTTTTCAACATATGTCTGTGTCTACAACATTTGTACATATCTATAGCATCATTTTATAATGTTTTTCTTATTACAACACGGTCACCTTCCCTCCACATGTTTCACATTATGTCAATTCACGAGGTACGTTACGTCTGCCGAATTATTCCTTTTATTTGTGGTTTATTTAAAAATAATCACATGAATTACTTGCATTGTTAAAAAATTGCAAAAATGTCAAAACTTTGAAATACAATAATTCTAGGTCCATTGAAAAAAAAGATATGACGAATAAAATAGAATGAACATTTTGCATGTAATAATTTCTGAGAAAATGGGTTCTAAAAAACCCTTAAAGTACGTGAAAGCTACAGAGAATACCCTGTGCCCTTAATCCACTTTCACTGCATTTCACCAGTTCATTGTGAAAACGTGACTAAGATTTAGAAGTTGCTATCAGTACTAGGCATAACAGGATACAACACTTCTGTCTCTAATTACTCATGCACACATGCACCAGTACGAGTACTAGTATGATAGTTGAAATTAAAGAAATTATTGGCAGTCATTCAGAGTTGTGTATGATATTTCTTTGGCCCTGAGAAACAAACAGAAATGTATGCGACTTTTTTTTTCTTCTCCTGGCCACCTCCACTTACACTTACTCAACGAATCTCCTGAATTTGAAGGTCGCCAAGTTGGCAGGTGTGCATTAGCATTTGCAGGGCCTGTCAAATGATTTCATAAGTGCTGCAAATGCTAATGTACACTTATTGTTTGCACTGTGGAGTGGTTCAACACACTGGTTTTATTGAAACAGCAGGCTCGTGTGCATTGTGTAGAAGTTAGGTCATCATAAATGGTTTGTACTATTTTTGCCGTTTCTAAAAGTAGTAATCTTTTGTTATACTGCTTTAAATTTGACACTTTGTGGAGAAAAAGCAACATTCATACAACTTCAAGAATTGCTCTATATCATATTTTGGCTGTTGCAACCCTGATCACTGCAAATGTACAGCATGTACAGATCTCATCGATTGAAACAGGACAATTTAAGGCTAAGTAATGCACATACCTTCATTCCTATCCTCTTCAGTTTGAGTCATATTGGCGTAACTTTGACTTAAACGCGTATAGCAGAGCTGACATTACCATTAGAGACCAGATTTGTCACGACATGATGTGGTTATTTCAAGCAGACAGACAGACAGAAAAACTTTATTAGAGCAAGTGTGTTTGGACCCCTCGGGATCCCTGGACCACCGCGCGGTCCTGCACCACGTCTACACGGCCATGCCTCTTGCCGCAAAGACTCAAGCAAATGCACATACCACTCCTTATATTAAAATATTTGATGTCGCATTTGAACTTGTGAGTACTGTACATCCATGTTTTTCATTTTATTTATTTTTTTTCGGACACTTACAGCACCCATTGGGCATTATTGTAGGGGGAAAACAGAAAAGAATATATTACAAGTGGTATACAATATCAG